GAATCCCTCGAAAAAAAAAAAAAAAGATGAAACAAATACAGAAATACTTTTAAGACACTAAATATAATTTATTGCATTTGTTGTTTGCAATAATGCACAAATGTTTATTAATCGCGACTACAATAAATTAGTACTTAACAAATTTTATATATAGAACAAACCTATTGTCAAAACATTTTCTACGTTAAATTGGAAATTTAAAAGCAATTTTGTTGTTTAAGTTTTGTTACTCAAAGAACTAACGCTAGAAGCTAAAATCGTTCAATATTAATAAAAGATTAAAGAAATCTGGATTCGTTTAGTTTTTATGGTCTAACATGTAAATTAACCACCCAAGCATCATCTATTACAAATAAATTATTGAGGGATTCTCACCCTTAATTTTATCTTAATTTTAGTGTATAAGTATTAACTGGTTTGCTAGTCGTTTAGCAAATTGAATTGTGGCTTTTTGTGAGAAATGCTATATAGGACACACTGGAAGATCATTCGAAACTAGAATTACTGAACATTTTAAAACTTCAGAAAATAAGAAAAAAATTCGAAATTTACAAATTTCTGTTCCTTAAAATTAAAAAAGTAGATAAAAATTTTCAACCAGTATAATAACAGCCCACTGAAGTAATGATACTGTGTTTTTAGGTCGTTAATAAAAATATTTATTTTATGTTTTATGTTCTTGTTATCGACGAGTGCGTATGAACAAAAGATCTTCCCTTTGCGTCACGTTTCCACTGTTTTAGGCTGCACCCTTGCTGTGTTTTTATACGTATCCGAAGTACTTTTTTGCAACCGAGTTAAACATTTTATATGCTTACTCAGTTACCGTGGTAACTTCATAATGTTTCGCGTCGTAAAAATGCAAATAGGGGCATCCCCGACGGTCGGTCCAAAACACAAATATAATTTGCGGTCGTACGAGCGAGCACACAGCCCAAAATTCCCTTCGATTATTTTACGTTTCGCCATCCATCGCGAAAATTTGCGATATCCTCGCATCGCGAAATAACAAAATCAATTTTGTGGGCAAATGTAAAAAACAATTGCCAACATACGGAACAAGAAGAAACAAATGTAAAATCTCTATTATTACAGATCTCTTACTTTGGCATCACCGCATTTCTCTGGCGCGCCTTGACAGAAACAAATGATCGCCCTTTAAGAAGGTTAAGCTTTACCTTACAAAGAAGTGTTTTCTTTGGGACGCGTGAAGAAGTCTGAGGTCCTAAATGTCACGTCAGCGAACACAAGGGGCAGGCCCGAACGAGACTTCTTTCGCTAGTAGTAAATACAACGACACAAGGGTGGAAAAATGCGCCCTTGTATAGGATACTTCAAAAAACTTCTAATTACTGGGTCGAATTGATAGTAACAGTTGAATCAAACTATTGACATTTCGGTTGTTTTTGAATCTTGAGTCTTCCTGTACCGGTAGGTCATAGGGTCAGATGTGCTGCGTCAGTGTTATTCCCGCGATATTAATAAACCAGGTGCCCTTTAATTCCCGAGGCGTCTGTAACTTGATTCGTTCCGCCTTGAAGCGACTCCCTTGGTTACCTTCTATACATGTCAAATCAATTTCAAAAATTGCCAAACTCTGTCAGTGTTACGGGGGCTGTCGGTGTTGTTTAGGAAACGTCTGACCGCCGGTTATAACAGTGACGACTATGTACATTAGGCAGCGGCAGAGAGCGGAAGCCATGGTTACCTTTGATATATTCGTGCTCTGGGTCCAATGTCCATCTCATGTCCCTCCACAATTAAGAAAATTGGACAGCCGAGTGATAGCAAGCAGTATGCAACATCACGCGTCGGGTTACTCAGATAAAAAGGGATAAATGTACCTATAGATACAGGGTAACTACATGTGTAATATTTTCGTTCGTTTTCTATCTCTTCGTATTTTGTTTCGATTGTTAAAGTGATTGTTTTTTGTCGTTTCTTCTAATGTTTTAATTGTCGTTTGTTTCGGCCTCAGTTGTTTTAATTGTCGTTTGTTTCGGCCTCAATTGTTTTAATTGTTGGAGTTGCGTTAGCGTCGTGTGGTGTTTAAAATTCATTTTATTCCATCCCTGCGCGGTTAAAGCTTCTTGATATGACGTGCGGCTAATGCAATTTCTGATAGCGCCGACTAAAGCTCGATGTCGGAGTGGACTTACGAGGCAGACACATACTTTGTATAATGTAATAGAGGATGAGACATATATGCAGTCGTGTCCTTAACTAACGACCATCTACTCCTTGCAAATGCATTCATATGTATGTGTGCACCGTGCCAGGGCTTTTATGCACCGTAATAATAGTCTTCGGACGGAGGTAATTCAATTTGCATCCAGCCCAGCACTTTCCAGACAATTATTCCTAAGCACCCGAGTCCTTAAAAGGACCATTAATTAATAATCAAAGTCCTGAGTAGTAGCAGAATATTCGGCAAAGCGAAATAGACGAATTGTATTGTTTGCGAAAGATTTTGTATTACTTTTAATTTTTTCTAGTTGTTCGTGTTGGAAGACCCCCGTTAATGTTCTGGAAGATAAAAAAGGTGGCTGAAAGTGAGGTGTGAACAGAACAGGGCGAGAAATAATGCGGGCATTATTTAAATGAGCTGGATTTTCACTTTTTTATGCGTTTCATCATAAAACTTACCTTCTTTAAACTGTCGCCGTCACCCGAGAAATGCTAATAATTCGGTGTCGGTGTCATCCGAAAGAGGGCCATATATTTCGAATCCGGGCGTAAGAAGCCGCCCCCCATTCTTGATTACGTCATTTACGAAAACACACTTCGTCGTCCTCAAACTTTACACAAACCGCTGTCGTAAATTTTGTTTTGTTAGTCGTAATTATAGACATCAAAAACTTTTGCTCTTTTATTGTTGTTTTTGACGTTTGTAATCTTTCAAAAAATCTCACGAAGTTAAACCGATTCATAGTCACAATAGACAAAATTGTCGGCCCCTACGGGGTGTAGGGATGATCTCATCTACCGACTAAGGTTTACCTAACTTACATTTTTTTCTACATTTACGTAGTGTTACCAGTAATTACCTACTCATTTAATTTATTTTCTGTAATCAGTTTGTGTAGAACTAAAATGTTTATGTTTATCCTAGACGTTCGACAATCGCCTTCATGCAGCTGCAGACTTTTTATAGCATGACGTTACTCGATAGACACTTATGTTACCAATTCACGCACAGGACCGGCTTCAGACTGTAAATTACTGCGAATTTCTTAAAAAATTGTTTGTCCTTGATCACGTTGCAAAACTCACCGTGCGACTTTCATACAGGGACGTATTAATTCGTTAATTAACAAGTTTTTAATATTTAAATTACACAATTCCCTGTTCGAGTATCTCGATATATTTATGTTGGTTGGAAAATTCTTTAAGACAACAATTGACGATCATAAAACAGTCGTTACGACCTCTGGCAGAGCTACCCCCCGGGGCGCATATTAAATATGGCCGTACTTGGAAATTTTTACAACCAATAAACGTTTCAAACGGGTGCGATCCCTGTGTTATATAGTTGGGGCCGTGACACAGAAAATCGTAAAACGGTTTAAGACCGCACACCCCGAATGCACCAAGTTCCTCGTTGACGTAATGAAAACAAGACACAAAGGCATTTAATAACCAAACACTCGTTCGAGAAAAAATAATTACTGGTCTATAAAATTTACACCCACGCAATTCTGAATATAAGGGTGCAAAATGGAAGTGAATTTACTGTCAAAAGCGGTTTGGGATGAGAAAGATATTTAATACGAACAATGAGTAGAAAGAGTGCGTACATAGGATTTGTAGATTTAGAGAAAGCCTTTGACAATGTTGAATGGGACAATATGTTAAATATACTTAAAAATGTAGGGATGAGTTACAAAGATAGAAGAGTGATACTTAGTTTGTATAAAGAGTAACAGGCAGTTATAGAACTGGGGCTGCAACGTAGAGAAGTAAATATTAGGAAGGGAGTCAGACAGGAATGCACACTGTCACCGCTACTTTTTAATCTATACATCGAAGACGCGATCAACATCATTAAAGACAGTACAACTGTAGGGATAGATGTGCAAGGGCAAAAGATTAGTATGCTTAGATTTGCAGATGATATAGCAGTATTAGCATCTAGCAAGGAGGACTTAGAAATAGCTTTAAATAAAATGGATGAGGTACTGACAGATCAGTACTGTATGGAAATAAATAAAAGTAAAACTAAAATACTGGTATGCAAGGGAAGAAAAAGTAGGGAAAGAGCGAATATAAAGATAGGAGACGAAAAATTAGAAGAAGTGGCTGATTTTAGATATCTAGGAAGTCAGATAAGTCAGGATGGAAGGAGTAGTAGGGATATAAAGCAGAGGATAGCGCAGGGTCGTGTCACCTTTATATAAAAAGAAATCACTTCTATGCTCGCGAACGGTTAATTTAGAAATTCTAAAAAGGTTGTTAAAGGTGTATGTTTGGAGCACGGCGTTGTACGGGTGCGAAACATGGACAGTGGGCGCGGCGGAAAAGAAAAGGTTAGAAGCGTTCGAAATGTGGTGTTATAGGCGGATGATGAGGATAACGTGGGTAGAAAAGGTTAGAAATGAAGAGGTATTAGAAAGAATAGGAGAAAAGAGGACTCTGTGGAAGTCAATAAAAAATAGGCGGGATAGGTTGGTAGGACACCTTCTCAGGCATGAAGGTCTAGTCAGAGACATATTAGACGCAGAAACAAGAGTTAGGAGGGGTAGAGGTAGACCTAGATTAGATTACTGTTCGCAAATAGTTAAGGATGTGGGCTGTTCTAGTTTTAGGGAAATGCGAAGTTTAGCTCAGGATAGGAAAGAGTGGAGGTACGTGTCCAACCAGTCTTAGGACTGATGACCTTATGATGATGATGATGATGCAGGTAATTGTCTCTTATAAGAATTTCACTATACACAATTTCAGCAGCAACTTTATTATAGTGAATTTATTGATCAAAGTTGTATTTACGTCACTTGTTAGTTGTGTCGAAGTCATCCCCTTCACGAGCTGTCATGTCTTAAAAAAAAATAATAACCCCGAGATCAGTAATCCCACCCCCAATAAAGAGTAATTCAAATGTAGACATTGACAAATACGAAAGTTTTGAAATTTTTTTGTCGACAAGCAAAAAACTGCGTGAGCATATCGAGACAATTATTTTTAATATTCAGTTGTGCGTAAAATATCAGGTGAAATCTTGTGTCAAAAAAAAAAAAAGTAGTAACAATGAATCTGGCTGTCATCGAGAAGACCGTTCGCAATTAAACCATGAAATCACCACCCAGTTTGCCAGCAGTGGATGACAGTGATTCGTCGGACAGTTCGGAAACCGAAAGGGTGCCGGTCAAAAAGGCTCTGAAAGAGAAATCGTCAAAAAGGTCGTTAGGTGACAGGAAAAGTTCGTCGAAACCTCGAAGCAGCGTCGGTTCCTCCACGGACATAGCACCGAGGAAAAGACGAAAGAAAATCGTCTCGGTTTGCCTAACTAACTGTCGTTACGATGTGGTAAGGCGAGTGTGCGCCAAACTTGGTTTCAAGGAAGTCGGGGAACATGACAACTGGAATTTATACTGGACAGACCTGTCGATATCGATCGAGAGATGCAAAGAGATGAAACGTTTCCAAAAGATCAACCACTTCCCCGGCATGCTCGAGATATGTCGGAAAGATCTCCTCGCACGAAACCTCAACAGGATGCAGCGTTTGTTTCCGAAAGATTTCACCTTCTTCCCGAAGACGTGGTGCTTACCGGCCGACCTCGGCGACGTCCTGACCTATTCCCGACTGCGAAAGAACAAAACCTTCATCCTTAAACCGGACGCCGGAAGCCAGGGCAAAGGAATTTTCATCACAAGGAATTTAAGGGAGATAAAGCCATCCGAACGGATGATCTGTCAAGTTTATATAACGAGACCTTTCCTAATCGACGGTTACAAATTCGATCTTCGAGTGTATACTCTCATCACCACGTGTGACCCCTTGAGGGTCTACATTTACAACGAGGGACTGGTACGGTTTGCTACCAGTCGCTACAAGGAACCGTCCAGCGTCAATGTCAGCAATATTTTTATGCATCTGACAAATTATGCCGTCAACAAGCACAGCAGAACGTACTGCATCGATTCGCAAGCGGGCAGCAAGAGAAAACTGAGCTGGTTCAACGAGTACATGACCAATTGCGGCTACGACGTTTCCAAACTTTGGAAGAAGATCGACGACGTAATAATAAAGACAGTCATAAGTGCGTGTCCCATCCTAAAGCACAGTTACATGGCGTGTTTTCCGAACCATGACGTGCTGCCGGCATGTTGCGAACTACTGGGGACCGACATCCTCCTCGACAGGCGACTGAATCCTCAAATTCTTGAGGTGAACCACTCCCCGAGTTTCCATACCGATACCGAGTTGGATTGCTCGGTTAAGGAGTCGCTCTTGGAAGACATGTTTCGCATGATGAACTTGGAGAAGTGCGACAAGCATAAGATAATGCGAGAAGACAGGAAGAGGGTTCGCGAGAGGTTGCTGCAAGGTCTGACCAAAGAACCGCCGAGGCCGCACGATCCAAAACGGTTCAACGAATCGTTAAGACACGAAATGGAAAACAGAGGAAACTTTAGGTTTGTTTCATTTGTTTTTAAGAACGAAATTTAACACTAGGTATTTGTTCGTTAGGTTGGTGTACCCGAATGCTGGTAACGAACACGTTTATGCCAGATTCTTCAATCAACTCCAGGGATCGAGTTTGTACATGGACACGGCGGCTAGTAAAGCGCGGGAATCGGCGGCCACCCAACTCAGGGACGAGATGACCTTGAGAGCTAAAGCGGAGGCAGCCAAACGCGTACAGCCGATGACGTCAAAATCCCAGAAGGAATCCTCGAAGCCCCCAACACCGTCTTTTGTTCCCAAAAGGAGTATTCCGCTGTGTGTAACCAGGAACTCCTTTGAACCACAGGTAATTGTCGAAGCGGAAGAGAAAGCCCGTCTGGCAAGACTGGAAGAAAGGGCCGCTTTGATGAAAGCCTACGGGCTTCTGGAATATTTGTACTTATCCATGAAGAAAAATGGAGTGTTGAGACCGCAAGACGAAAAGAGATTCGCTGTCTTCAATAAAGTCAATAAGGGTAGCGCCAAAGGGGGTAGCGGTACATCGAGGAAAAAACCGGAAATCACGGATCTTCTGGAAGACATTACCGCGGGAAAAATGAACCTGCCCGGTTATATTGGGAGAAAATCGGAAGACAGACCAAACAAGACCAACGTACTCGGAATGGGAGACTTTACATCACTGAAGTCGTCGTAAGATTTGGATACGACACGCAGAAAGGATTTTGTTTTATTTTTATTATATGCCCAGGCAAGAACGTCGAGGAGTTTTTATTAAATCTTATTTTTATGTAGCAACTGTGATTTTTCACTCACTTTTTACTAATAGAACGTGTTTTAATAATTTGTGCTGCAGCTTTATTGTTCCAGCGACACCTCAGCATCAAAACAATACCTAAACAAAAGTCTTACGAACGATGAAGAGACAAATGAATTTTGTCGACTTTTTACGTCCGCTGACAAAAGAGACAACAATAAAATATTCAAATGTTTACACTGTTCTCGCACACAGTTCTCCACTCTACTTTGTTTGCTACTCTACTTTGTTTGATTCAATTTCCTTAAAGAAAAAAACTAGTAACGGTAGGATTGCCTAGTGTCTGTGGGAAATTATAACGAAATGTTCAGGTGAGAACGTGCGAAAAAGAAAATAGAATTAAAGGGACAGTGCAGCCAGTTGCGCTTGGACCATTTCTAAGCACTTGAAATCGTCTAAATTGAGACAGAGGACAAAAAGTTGTCTGGAGTTGATCTTGTAATGCTTGGCACTCAAACTGCGGGTCATCGTCTCTAAAAGTATATTATTACTCTCCAGAACCTTGATAATAAAAATTTCAACCTAAAATATTAATGACAATAACATCTGCCATCAAATCTACTCTATCGTGCAGGATTTTGTTTGTTTATTAAAAACATTTGCTGTTACAACTATTCTGATGTATAGGCTTTTGTTTATCAAATGACATAAGGTACTTACCACGCCTTCTGAATTTATTTTGTTTTCCTGTATCGTTGATCGCCCTTCTTTTTAAATAAAACAATTTCATGTGGTAATGGCATTCTATTCGAAGTTCAAAAAACAAAATGCACTCACTCGTCTTCATATTTTTTGATGGCGGAACTAAGATACGTTAGAAGTCTAATAAAATTCTGTACCTATGGGATTTTATAGGAAACTGTCGTAACGGATGATATTATTTCGAGGTTGTGTTTTATCTAAATTAAGGCATCCCTTGTGTAAGGGGTTGTTCTTATCTCGTAAAAGGGGCAACTTAATTCATCAGTATCCATCAATCGATGGGCCGTTTTTTTGATAGGCTCTCTTTTATGCGATCCTTCGCCGTAAAATTGGAAACCAAAGGGGCAACATCTTTTTAAAGTTATAGCTTTTAATTTTTAGAAGTATCCTTCGGGGACCGGTTCCTTAATCGATTTTCAATTCTCTGCAACGTATTTCCCGTATACGTGTACACCAAGTCCCACAGGACTATTTCACCTTATCGTTCAGCTTGGAGCTTTTGCCATAAAATAAAACGCAAAACACGTTGTTAACGTTTTTCCTTCTTTATTTGCCAGAGTAGACAAGGACGAAGCATATTTACATATAATAACTGACGACGTGAGATTTTTTCGTTAATAATAATAAATAATAATAATAATAATTAGGGGAGAGAAACAATCACAGACGCAAATGTTTAAAATTACGAACTAACGTTATCTTGTATCCAATCTAAATATTCCGAGACCCTTGTGTACACCCCCGGCCATCCCTCCGTGCCGCAAATGTTCCCGAACGATACTATTCCACCAACGTACCAGTTCGCGCTCCCACGTTTCGGCGCCATCAAAGGGCCGCCACTGTCGCCGCCACAGGAGTCTTTGCCTTTCTCTCCGCCGGCGCACAACTGCGAGTTACGTATCACCACGTTGCTCCTGCTGTACACAGTTTTGCAGTGGTTGTTGTCCACCACCGGCACCTGGACCTTCAGTTTTATATTGCTTCTACTCGACTGATTGGTCGCGCCCCATCCTGCGACCCAGAACTCGTCGTCATTTGCTATTTTATCCGAGGGATTAGTCGGAAGACATATCGGCTGTACGTAATCTGAAAATAAATTAATTTAGGTAAATATTTTAGATAAAGATAGGAGACGAAAAATTAGAAGAAGTGGCTGATTTTTTAAGTATCTGGGAAGTCAGATAAGTCAGGATGGAAGGAGTAGTAGGGATATAAAGCAGATGATAACGGAGGGTCGAGTCGCCTTCAATAAAAAGAAGTCACTTCTATGTTCGCGAACGGTTAATTTAGAAATTCGGAAAAGATTGTTAAAGGTGTATGTTTGGAGCGCAACGCTGTACTGGTGCGAAACATGGACGGTTGGCGTGCTGGAAAAGAAATGGTAAGAAGCGTTCGAAATGTGGTGTTACAGGCGAATGATGAGGATACCGTGGATACAGAAGGTTAGGAATAAAGAGGTATTAGAAAGAATAGGAGAACAGAGGACTCTATGGAAGTCAATAAGGAATAGGCGATATAAGTTGGTAGGACACCTTCTCAAGCATGAAGGTCTAGTCAGAGACATATTAGAGGCAGAAACAGGAGTTAGGAAGGGTAGAGGTAGACCTAGATTAGATTACTGTTCGCAAACAGTTAAGGATGTGGGCTGTTCTATAGGGTTGTTCGGAAAGTCATTTCGTTTTTTCCCGACAGAGGATTTAATTGTATTCTTTTGCACCCAACTTCACATTTAAGCCGTATAATTTTTATATGCTTTGAGAGCTCATATAGCAAGGCTTGTGTGTGAAAAATTCCAATTAATTCTACGCAGTAGTTTTTGGTTGGTGCCCTTTTAAATATGGAGAGCGATAAGCAGCATTTTCGACATATCTTACTGTTTTACTACAGAAAGGGTAAAAATGCTGTTCAAGCCAGAAAGAAATTGACTGATGTGTATGGAGAAGGTGTGTTGACAGTACGCCAGTGCCAGAACTGGTTCGCTAAATTTCGATCCGGCAATTTTGATGTCGAAGATGCACCACGTTCGGGAAGGCCGGTTGAAGCTGATAAAGACGCGATAAAGGCATTAGTTGATGTGAACCGGCGAATAACAACACGTGAGATCGGATTGAGGTTAAATTTATCAAATTCAACAGTTTATGACCACTTGAAAGGCCTGGGATTATCCTCGAAGCTCGATGTATGGGTTCCCCATGTTCTCACAGAGAGAAATCTGTGTCGCCGCATTGACGTCTGCGATTCGCTTCTCAAACGTCACGAAAATGATCCGTTTTTGAAGCGCATCATCACTGGGGACGAAAAATGGGTTGTATACAACAACGTCAAACGCAAGAGGTCATGGAGCAAAAAAGATGAACCGGCTCAAACCATTTCCAAAGCCGATATTCACCAAAAAAAGGTGATGCTGTCTGTTTGGTGGGATTTTAAAGGAATCGTTTTTTTTTAGCTTTTACCGGATAACACAACGATTAATTCGGAAGTCTACTGTCATCAGCTGGACAAACTGAATGATGCACTTCAACAGAAAAGGTCAGAACTAATCAACAGGAAAGGTGTAGTGTTTCACCAAGACAACGCGAGACCTCACACAAGTTTGGTCACTCGCCAAAAGCTTTTACAGCTTGAATGGGATACAATGCTACACCCACCATATTCTCCAGACCTGGCACCATCGGATTATTATTTGTTCCGGTCACTCCAAAATTTTTTAGACGGTAAAACCTTCACCTCAAATGAGGAGGTCAAAAACCTCCTCGATCAGTTTTTTGCCAGCAAAGACCAAAAATTTTATGAGCGTGGAATTATGCTACTACCAGAAAGATGGCAAAAGGTGTTGGACCAGAACGGTCAATATATAATTTAATAAAGTATTTGTTTATTATACGAAAACTGTCTTTCATTTCCACAAAAAAAAACGAAATGACTTTCCGAACAACCCGATAGTTTTAGGGAAATACGAAGATTAGCTCAGGATATATAGGAAAGAGTGGAGGTGCGTATCCAACCAGTCTTAGGATTGACGACCTTACGATGATGAATGAACCCTACAAGACATCTTCCAAGTGTATTACAGTTAATTACTTGTAAATTGTGCAGGTCGAGACAGTCTAATCAATGCGATATCGTTAAATCTGTGAGTTCCAGACTCCGGATTGTAGTCCGGATGGCTTATAATGCGTTCCACAGGAATGTTCTGTGGCGGATCGTTGCACTCTGGGAACCTTTCATCCCCAACACAGTCCACCCCTGTCTTTGTGTTCCATTCTCCGAGACGTATGCTGACCCTAAAATTAGAAAGAATGTATTACAACCTGCGAAAAAAATTCAAATGTGAAAACGCTCATTACAATCTTCCCAGTTGTCTTATTCTGCTTCCGGTGACACAATGGGCAGCTGTAAGAACATATTTGTTGTTGATGAGGGCGCCCCCGCAGTGGTGGCTGTCCGGCTTGCCGTCTCTCCTCTTGTAAAACAAAAGGGCGAGCCACGGGTACTCGCCCAGGCTGGTTTGTTGACCACCGACAATTTTGTCTGCCACCTGCGCTACGTAATGGAATCATGAGACACCGACGTTTCGGGAAACGGTCGCGGCATTACCTGGTTGCCACATTTGGGTTCTTGGGGTATGAGTGGGCTCCTGAGAGTTATTGACGATCCCGAATCTACCGGTTCGAATTGGTCGCTGGAACCGCAACAGACCAGCGGCTGATCCTCGTACCCGCATCCCGATTGCTGGACGAACGTCGTTTTCTCCCGGTCCCTCGTTTTTAAAGCGTTAATTAAAATGGGACAGTTGTATATCGACGTGCATGTCGCTGATTCTCCATTTGGGGTGGTGCAACTGTCACCACTCTGTACTGGAACATTTCGAACATTATATGAGCGAAACACGGATATAAAAACAAAAGAAAAGTGGTTTACATCGTATTATGTATTTGTTTGTTTGTATTAGGGGGATAATCTCTGGAATTACTAAAAATTCTTCGACTGATAGAAAGCTATAGTACCCTGAATAGATAATACCTACATAAACAGGCTACATTTTATTTTAACCACTATAAACTGCCTCAAATTTATGAGAGAAGAGCCCTACATAATTATCATATAATTACATTAGTTCGAAAGATCTATGACCTAATAAGTACGGTTTGTCGTTGTTGCAATTGTCATCTCTCGTAGCTCAGTAGTCAAAGCATTGGTACGTAAAGCCGAAGGTCTCGAGTTCGATTCCCGGCGAGGTTGTGAATTTTTCTCATTAACCTAAGGTAGTTTGTAGTGGTTAAAAAATTGAAAATGAATTTTCACATTCGTACTTGACGTTTAACGACTATTAAATGTCAAAGCTACCTAATTACTGATTAGATCTAAGCTGTTAATTGAGTGAGTTCGTCACCTTTACCATGTTGAGCGTATTATTGGGGAAAGCGACGTTTAATCAATCGAAACGTACAGATATCATCCTAATGAAAAAGTATGGGAAGGCATCTTTATCGGAGTGACAGGTGGTAAATTGGAATCAATAGTCGAACTTGTTCTTTCTGATAGCTTCACTAACCTTACGGCTTTCTGATTACGATTAGCTTGCGATCTAATTTGACACGAAATGCTTCAGAAAAATGTCGATCTAAATGCTTTTTCGATGTCTTGCTTTTTAGGGTCGACAAACAAAGTTTTTATTAATCAACGTATCAAATTGTCGATGTAACAAAGTGTGAAAAACAAACGAGGATATTAAACAGTTTATTTGATATTCTATTGTTCTTCGTAGAATTAAACGAAACATTAACTTACTTTTCTAGATTTCTGGTGAAATAAATTTCAATGCTGAATTCTACTAAAACTGTTTATTTATAATTTTCAAAGGTCAAGGATATTTCGAATAATTTATTTAACAACTTTTACGGAATTCTGGGTTCTCCTTCCTGCAGTACCTGCTTGTAATACTTGATAATTTTAATTGCTAAACTTTTTATTTCGTGTAAACGACGATGCAATTTGAAGAAAAACAAACCATTAAATTTTCATTTAATGTGTTACTGTCAAAGATAAACACAGACAATAAATATAATTCACAGCAACATCGTGATGAAGATCATAAATAAATATGTAATAATTATTTATTGTACTTATAACATCTTCTAAAGGAAGTACCTATTCGATTACCTAGCGTTTTTCTTTCGAAAATTACAACGTGAAAGATGTAATTTTTCATTCATGTAATGTATAATTTTTTTGTTTATAAAATTGCAAATACAAAACCATTATTTATGTGTGTAATGTAGACAACAAACATATGACTGAAATGGCGTCAATTTGTTTTACTCTTTATGCCGACGTTTCGGTAATCGAAGCCGCCGTTAATCTTCATTAATACGTATTAACTTCTGCGAAAATAAAAAAAAAAGCGCAATTTTTCATGCAGGTGTATAGTCAAAGTTGAAACATCCAATTTATCTTAATTTCTATAATTAAACGAGAGAGAGAGGGTCAATCGCCCATGAAAACATTAATTTATTTTCTTTTGGTCAAAGCTGCTTCTAGTGGATCGCCTTTTCTATCTGTTAAATGAAATTACACACAGAAATCTTCGAGTTTTACGGTTATTATCGAACACTAATAGTTGACCCCAGCAGGTCATTGATAGCAACAACATTACATAATATAACTTCTAATATTATTCTTTTTTTTAAGTAGGAAAACAAAATTTCATTTATTTTTTCTTATCATTCCATTGTAGTAGAGGAAATGCTATACCTAACGCCAACAAAAGTCCCAAAAAGGAAATCCGTAATGTGATAGTACTTCTACCTACATTACTGATAAATTTAAATAATCGTGACCGTTACACAAATAAATTAAAGTCTATTATAATGTAACAAAATTTGTTAAAATTTAAATTACACTTATCACACAATATTTTTGTTTTATTATTTTGTTGTTTATCGCTAGTAACAACTATTAATTAAACTTTTGATGAGTTAGTGACTATATATATATACGTACATACCTACTGCATAACTTTTTTGTCTAATTTTTCGATTTATACTCACTAATTATTGTAAATTTTATGAGTAAAGTAAAGACAGACTTACGTGCTCCACTAAACGGCGAAAAGGTCAAGGTCAAAATCAGTACGAAACAGGACAACATTTTCAGCTTCTTTAACACCACCGTGTGTACCTTCTGTACGTCGGAACGTTGGTGCCCAGAAAGGAGCGATTGTACGAAACCAGTTCACCAAACAGACTGGACAGTGAGAAAACACTGAAATGTTGTTATTGGTTTCGTTCTTGTCCGGCACTCTTGTGAAAAGATATCTGATGACCATTTAATAACAACGAACGCGCTCTTTTAATTGGTCGAGCGTATGTCAGATACAGCATATTATCCGAAGGCCTTCCACATAACGTCATTTCTAATGGAAATTCCGTGCTGGTGTGTTGTCATTAATCTATAACAAAGTTGCATCTAAGTAAGAAAATATGAAAGCAAAATAAGCGAAAAATGTTAAAAATTGAAGTTATAATAAGTACTTACGATAAGAAAAACTGGAGGCACTTGTCCAACCATAGTCTTATTAGGACTGATGACCTTATGGTGGTAATGATTAATAATTTAATACTAGATTTCACTCACGTTAATCTCTTGTGTCAATGATCATCGACGACCACATAAAACTAATGTTTCTATCCCTTGGGAACAGCAGCTTTTTTCTGGATAAATGGCACCCTATGTCATTTTTTGCACCCCTGACAATCCGTGTACAAAATTTCATGATAATCGGTTGGGTAATTAAGACGTGAAATGGTAGCAAACAAACAGATTCGCGTTTATAGTATTTGTTAGGAAGTGTAATCACCTTGTGAAAAAGTGAAAGTATTATTTATTTAGCCAGAAGTAATTTATTCTTATTGTCAAACGTGTAATTAATGGTTTCCTTGACTCCAATTTATCCACTGGATTTTTTCGATTTAGCGAAATAGTGTTCAAGAAAACCAACTAGAAAAGAACCTTGGACATCCGAACCTCCTTTTTTAATCAACTAATTCTTTTCGAGAAATCAATCCGAAAGAAAAGTTTTCCGTTTGAAAAGTTTTCACTCATACATGTGCGGATGTCGCTGGGTCTTCTTCATCTGGAAACAATTAAACTTTCTTGCTCTGTGTTTGTCACAGGAAGTTATAAGGGTGTAAAAAAGGGGATACGATACAATCCCCTTCCTCCTCCCACCAACCCGGAACTTTCCTTTGTCCTTGTGTTAAGTTGACCGTGTCTTTCTTTTAAACAAAACAATTTCATGGTAATGGACTTCTTTTAAAAGTTACCCTCTTGTTCCAGAAAACTTGTGTAGGTACGTATAATATGTAAAACTACAAGGGGATGCTAGCTATATGAGACCCTGACTTAGTGTATTAGTGAATTTTCTCGTAATATGGGCAGTTTTTTGAAAGGAAAGACTTTTACTAAGTTATGCGCGTCTTGTCGCCATCTATTGACATATGCTACCAACTATAATAATTCTAACAAAACAATATCAGTGTAATAGTTTTCACATTGAATTCGAAGAAACTAAGCAAGAAAATTAATGTTACTTCCAAAATTCTGTTCTTGATGGGATAAACAAGAATGTTAAACAACAATTTAATTATTAGAAATATATTCGACATTACGTAATAACAATAAATTTAAGAATAAAAACGACTATTGGCTCGTACCAACAATTTTAATTTATTTGGTATAAGATTGTAAAAAATTTAAATAAAACATTAATATTTCTATTACCTTTATTTAATACGTCAAGGTAATCAATTTAATTAAAATTACTGAACCTAGTGGATCTCCTTCTTTTGTTTGTACTTTTACTATCGCGCTTTTTGTCCTTTTCCAAATTGTGTTTCCAATGCCTCTTGATGGTTGTCTCTATCCAACTGTAATACTGCGGGATACTTGTATAGACCCCCGGCCAGTATTCGAGACCGCAACCTAAACCAAAGCTAACAATCCCTTCTGCATACCACGGACTGGATCCCGTCTGGACCATTAAAGGGCCTCCCGAATCACCGGAACACGAGTCCTTCCCTTCCTCACCCCCGGCACAGATTTGAGCCGATATTATGTCAACGTCGGCTGCTTTGTACTTGGCCCTGCAATATTCTTGAGAAGCACGTTTCACCGACACTTTTAATTTGATCGGATTCCTGTCACCTAGACATACAAAAAAGGAAAATTTTAAATTATAAATAATAACAAAAGCGAATCACAACAGCCAACAGCAACACTTAATCATCACTTAATCAAAACGTCTTTAATTTAATTTTATTTAATTGATTTAGAAACTATAAGTAGGTATTTTAATTATAATTTGAAAGATAATCTTAAAGTGTCATTAAATAATATAGGAATTTATAGTTTATTGATAGGCCTCATATCCTGGTAATTAATTAAAAGTAAATGTGTATGCGTAAATGAGAATTTAAAACCTATTAATTAATTACGTATGTGTGATTAGTGACAAAACCGTTAAGCAGACGGATTATCTTGAGTAATATCATTAATAATTTGGAGTAACTAATTCTAAAAAAGTATGTCAAAAGATTTATTTCTTACTGTCTTCGGTTTTTCCCCAACCGGCCAACCACATTTCCTTCTCGGACNTAATTAATTAAAAGTAAATGTGTTGTGTAAATGAGAATTTAAAACCTATTAATTAATTACGTATGTGTGATTAGTGACAAAACCGTTAAGCAGACGGATTATCTTGAGTAATATCATTAATAATTTGGAGTAACTAATTCTAAAAAAGTATGTCAAAAGATTTATTTCTTACTGTCTTCGGTTTTTCCCCAACCGGCCAACCACATTTCCTTCTCGGACGTTGTTTGATTTGCCATGCAAATTGGTTGAACATATTCTGTAAAGATTGCACTTTCATTAATATTCAGCGTCAGTTCCTATAAATTATAAATATTATCGACAACGTCTTCATTTTACTATTAATACGACTATCAGTTGTAGGGCGTGAGCAAACAAAATCATTTGCTCACTTGTAAAGCATAACGCGGCATCGAAGCCGCTCGAAATGCAGCTTCTCTGCTAAGGGCTAAAGGAGCAATGTTCTGTCTTTGCTCATAGTACGTAGCTACGTCGTCCGGTATACACGCATTGGCTCGCCGCACACTTTGCTTTGTTTAATAGGTCAAGGCGGTGCATTCTCATTACAGACCTTTTGAATTGGTTCGTTGATGACGTAAACACATCGGTCTTTCAGCCTCTCAATAATTTCGACATGTTTCTTGCAAAGTAAACAACCGCGTTATGTTCAGAGGTCTATAATATATTGACTCTGTCTTTAGGTTGTTGGCATTACGTAATAACAAGCCTGACCGCTGGATAAACGCGGGTTATTTGAAGTTACGCGTGGAGCGCCCTCAGCGTCCAATATATACATTCCCGTATAACTTTGTATTCTGAAAGGGCTACAACCTCCGTCAAAGATTTCTTTGATCTATTCATATGTTATTTTGGAAGTAAATTAAGTTGGGGCTTTTCAAATTAATAGACTGCCCTCTCGACGACCGTATCCTTCGATTTCACGGGTTGTTTGCGGTACGTACTTACGGGGAAACAGGACAAGGCAAAAGGATGACGGACGTTATTGTTATTATCGTTGGAACACTCTTTATTTATTACGAACTAGCGACCCGCCCCGGCTTCGCACGGGTGCAATGCTGATACTAAATATAGACAATATAAACCGCCCCCCTATGTTCCTGCATTTTAAATCTGTAATATCTTGGAAAATATTCATTTAAATTACATGCTGTAAAGGACCATATTGATCTATATTAAATGCACAATGTATTTAAAAGTACTTAATTGGATAAAGGTTAATGCTGTATTGCTCAAAATCGCTTCGTAAATAAGCCATTATTTCTCCTAAAAAGTAAAGGATAAAAAATGGTTATTGTGGGTTATCCCTAAGAGATAGACATATACTATCCCGGACTTTTTTGTAGACCTTTTTAAGGTGTACAATACTGTAGTACATTACTTTGATCTATCTCGTAGGATTCAGCCAGCGTTTGCAATGTAAGCGCAAAAAATGTGTTTATTTACGACATCACATTAGAAACCTCTAAAATTATCAGTGTTTCTCTACTACATTATGCATGTAATATACATATAAACCTTCCTCCTGAATTGATCTATCTATTTAAAAAAACCGCATCAAAATCCGTTGCGTAGTTTTAAAGATCTAAGCATACATAGGGACAGACAGCGGGAAGCGACTTTGTTTTATACTATGTAGTGATACGTCACGTTACGTTCGAAATTGGCTAAATGGTTGAATTTTAGCTCAAAGGCGCGCTGTCAAAAATGCAAAAAAATTGTATTATATTATTGACGAAAAATGTCAAAAATCGACAGCCGGTGGCGCGAAGAATGGAAGAAATCATCCGTAAAATTGAAACTCCACCGAAAATGTCCGTAACGGGGCACGTCTTTGATTATTGAAGAAGGGAAAGGCGACGTCGTAAACCGGAACTAAAGGCTTTCTCCAGACCATCCATGCTGCCATTATGATTATTACTATAACCAGAAACGGGAGGGCAATTTCCATATGTAGAGGCTACTTAAGACGGGGTTCGGCGGCCACGTTGTCATCCACGCCTGTTAGGCAATTCCGTCACCGGAAATGTTATGCTCTAAAGTTCCTTTTTTAGCGGGGAGGAAAAGAATTTGCTTAACTTCACCACTTCACCGACCGTTTCGGAATGAGAATGAGACGTAGAGAACAGATGGCGAAAGAATTAGTAAAGATTTTGCAGTAATAACGTTGTAAGGGTGCATATCCAAATGGATTCTGAGGATTTTAGAATAAAAAGCGATGAGGCCGAGTACCTACCTACCGGCAATGTTTCTTCGTTCGTTTGTTTCCTAATAAAATAAAAATGTGTATCTTTAAACTAGTTATTATTTCGTCTTTCAAAATGGAAGCAAATAAATGTTTCAGTTCTTCAGTTCATTTTCATTAATATGATTCTTGGCTCGAGCCTTCTTCGTATCCGACGTTAGTTATTTATTTAAATCGACGTACTTGCCCAACAAACGAAAAAAAAAAACTAATTTCTACAATAACATCAAGATATGTTCTTCTTGTCATTTTTAAGAGACGAGTGGCTAGATACTCTTCATCCTCATTATCATTAGGGTCGTAGATCCTAGGACTGGTTGGACACGCACCTGCAGTCTTTCTTAACCTAAACCAATCTTTGCATTTCTCTAAGCTAGAACATCTATTTGTGGACGGTAATCTAATCCACGTCTACCTTTACTCCTCTTGACCTCTGTTTTTACTTTTAATATGTTTCTAGCTAGTCCTTCATGTCTGAGAAGGTGTCCTGCCATCTATTTCGCCCAATTTTTTTATAAATATCTATTGCGCCCCTGTTCTACACGGAGAAAATGAAAAAGGAAAATTTACCTAAATATTAAAGCGGTATTTACAATTTATCTCACTAGCCCGTTGCTTCGTAAGCTAAAATAATAAAAATTACAATTTGGACCCGAATTTGTGAAAATAAAATCCCAGCAGAAATAAATTTTCTTGGTATTTTAGTTGAAATTACAAATTTATTTGTAATAATTAAGACACTTGGAATAATTTTTAAAAAGACATGTCAAAATTGAGATTATTACAAATGACCTAACAAATTCTACTATTTCTACGGCAAATTCAGTCAGTTACAATCGAAAATTATAATTTTTGCGTTGTCATAAAAA